ACAGAAGAGATGGGCAGTATCCACGAAAGAAGAAGAAACATTATTAATTTCTATCAACTCTAAAATAAATTGTTTATTCTTGATGGGAGCATTTTTGTGTAAAAACTAACAGGGCAATTAGACTGGATAAAGGATAGGGGTCCAGGCTTAACTCTGATTGGTTTGTCTCTTTCAGGGCTCTGACCCAGAGGGGCGTGGCTTCTCTCAGGCACGTGTGGTAGCGGTCATCCAGAACTCTCCACGGGAGAAGTGTGTGGGAGGACAGCGGAGACAAGTCCCATTTTCAATCTCCCCCCTCCCAACCCCCTTAATAGAGATCTAAGAATCTCTGCCTTGTTTTTCTCCCTTGTATTCCTGTGGTTTATCTGTTTGCTTGTTTCCTGTAAAGACAAACGTGACTATTTGAGGCGACACGTCCCGAGCTTGACCAGGGGCCGTTGTTACTCTTTATTCCATTTCTGTGTGGCCTGGCAGCGTGGGCTGATGGGCGACGGCGCCATCCTAGGCCACCCTCCCCTCCTTTCCGGGGCAGCGCTGCCCTAGGCCCCAAGCAGACCTCCGGTGATGGTTGGGACGGAGCAAAACGCCACCCTGGCCTTGGTTGGCCTCCTGCTCCTTCTCCTGGCGCTCCTGCTGGTGCGCTGCTTCCGTGTTTTGCTGGATCCCTACAGCAGCATGCCCGCCTCCTCCTGGAGTGACCACAAGGAGGTGCTAGAGAGGGGCCAGTTTGAATACACGTTGGTGTGACGCCATGGAGAGCAGGAATAATCTCCACGTATACCCAGCATGGAAGGGCCCCAGAGGATCTTGTTTTTGGACTACAAATGTTCCGGTTGAATCCTGACTAAGACCAAATTTGGCAGCTGCAGAATCCTTGACGCCTCAGAAACCATGAGAAGGTGCAGCTCTTCAAATTTTTGTGCCCTGAGAGTTTAAACAAACGTGGCGTCTATTTCGGGATTCAGGACATGAAAAGCCAGTTCTGAAAGGGATCATCACACCCAGCTCGTGGCTTACTTCACCATTTGGCCTTTGCTTCTTCGTTAGGCTCGTTATTGTTGTCCATCTACACGGGTTCCACATGGCTGAGACGCGCACCTCTCTCTCCTCCACCCATCTGTGGCGTTGGTATGATGACGCCCACACCAGGCCTGGTGCCCTGCGGGTATATTGGGCCTTTTGGGCACCACAGCACCGTTTTGCTGTTTACTGGGTGCTAAGGTTTTTGTTATTGTTGTGAACAATCGTGATGTGATTCGATGCAGTTTTTCTGTCTAAAAACTTAGTGGGGGGGGGGGTCTGTAGTGCCTTTCAATAGCCTGTGTGATGTCTGTAACCTTATTAATAGGCTGTGTCTGTTTAGTGTCTTAAGGTGCCACAGAATGTGGGGCTTAGTATGAAATGTTTACCACCACTGAATTTGTGAGTAGATTTTCTTTTTTTTATTACTTCTGATTGTTGTTCCTGCTAAGGCAGCTGAACTATAGTGAATAAAGTACTTTGTCCCTTCATCACGCGCGTGACATTTTCATGGGTGTATTTCCGCGGGAACGGGCACAGGGCTTCAGGAATTTACTCTCCCTCTTAGTGCCGCGTCCGGTTTTTCCAGTGATGCTCATCAGGTTAGCTGTGTTTAGCGGTTAACAGACCAAATAACTTGAAGGCGTCGGCCTCTGGGGGCGGAGCTATCGTGTTTTGATTTAAATGGACTGTGAAATCTCTCCTCTGGGAGTCCTCACGTTACTTTACTGTATTCCCACCTTTGTAAATATCGGAGCGTAGAGGTTAATAAACATTTGTGATTCCGGAGTAGCCTGATTGCTGATGCCGGTTTTAACATATGAACCCTACTGTTTCCTTGTCAGTTATAAAGGTGCCCTTATCCTGGTTGATATCTAACCAGCCTATTGCCAAATCATTCCTTTTTGATTCAACAAATTGCCTGTGCGTGACCATGTTTGATGAAATTTGGCATGTGAATCACGCATCTTTCAGAACACAGAAATGTTATTTATCTAAATTTCCATTTGATAAGTATTCAAGGTGTTCTAATTAGCTGTAACTTTTGTGCTATTGCAGCTGTATGGCTCAACAATAGTTGATTGGAAATCTCACTTTTGCATAAGTCTGAGTTCCCTTTTTCAACCTCAAAATTCATCATACATTTTTGCTTTATTTGGTCAATAAAAGAAAACAATAAAGGCCTTGGAGTGACAATTCAGTTTTTATAAAGAAATACATTTGTACTAATTGTTTATAAAACATTGACTTGTAACTTGATAAACACTCCAAATGTGTGCCAGTAAAAACTGCATTTTTGAGACACAAAAAGGTATGTAATGGGAGGGGGAATTTTTTTCACGTAACTGAATACTCTGTACCCACTTTGAAAGAAATAATCATTGAAGGAGATGCAGGAGTTACAAGGCTTTGAACTTACAACAATGCAGTTTACAAGATGATCTTTGACCTTGAAGAAACAATTTCAACATACCATGAGGTACTCTTCATCAGTAAATCGCATGCCAAAGTTACACAAAATGAAAAATGGTGATGCAAAGACCATTCGTTGAATTACAATGGAACAACCTAAGAAGTGTTACTGGACATTTACATTTTTATTTAATTTTGCAGATGCTTTTTTGAGAGGGCAGGGCTGGATGATTCCTGGGGCAATCGGGCTTAAGGCCTCGCTCAAGGCCCCAATGAGGATGGAAGGCTCATTCCCAAGATAGCATGAAGCTCTCTCATGGATGGTTTTCCCTTGACCTTGAGTGTGAAAACTAGATTTAACATTCTACAAAGATTTGTAAAATGTGGACATTTTATATGTGATTCATCCAAGCAGTTTTGCCAAAGGCCAAATATATGTAAATAATTACATGCAATGACATTTAACCTGAACATTAGTGTTTAGTTCTAAATTAACTGGAGGTAAAAGGAGATGCTGGGGGTTTTGATGTGGGTCATAGGGGGCCAGAGGCTTCAGCGACCCCCCAGGTTGCTGTGATAACGTGACCCGGCTGCGTCTGGGTTCACATGCTGTCCGTCTTGAGGAGATCGTCACGCTTCCTGCGGGGAGTTTCCCGTTCCAGTCCTGGTCCGGCTGCATTCCTCTCTGCAAGCGATAACCCTCGAGCAGCCAGTATGGGTTCCAGGGGCCCGGGTGGAGATGTGAGGTCGTCATGTCCATTATCTCTGGGACATGATTACGCAAGGAGTGCGTCTTAGCAGGAAAAACAAAGAACAAAACAGTGTGAGAGCGAACTGGCCGCATCTCATCTGATAGCAGAGTGGCGACAGGCGTGTCCCCTCTCACGTGTCTCGACAGGCTGGGGTATGTGCGCCTCATCCTCCGCAGATCCACTGGTTCTCCTAGTTCTGAGTAACCGACAGGGACACACTATGGGTTAAGGACCTTGTTCAAGGGTGAAATGGTGAAATCTTTCTCTAACTGTGGGACGTGAACCGATAACCTACTGATCACGGCCATAAATTCCTAACCCACAGTAAGCTAAAAAGCTTGGTGACGAATGTCCTGACCTGAAAGATCCTTGTCACAAACCCAACCTGACCCACATGGTCATTCTGCATCTTCCTATCTCTGGACCAAATGTTCTCTGATGGTTGAACATCCAGTCCTGCAATAAGTTGTTAGTTCCAGACCCTCCAGCCTTGTAATATCTGCCTTATATATTAGGTAAGTTTCTATCTCAAGCTGACAGTTGCCGTTTCAGAAGTTTGAATACAGACGCGTGTCTCAACAGGCTGTATGCTTGTATATATATATATGCTTGCCTTGAATCCAGTTCCTGTTTGGGCTTGCTTGCTATACCTCTATTGAAATAGGTGCTTGGGAAAAATTAGATCAGGCATGGATTAGTCACTCACATACCCCCCCCGCCACCACCCCCCCAGGGGGCTTCAGGGTTCAGTATAAGAACAAAGACAGAATGACATCAGATCCAGTAAGCCTTCATTAGTCATCTGACGCTAACTTCCTGCATGACTTTGTATAAAAAGTGCAGGAATTTTCATTTGATTTCAAAACTGAGGAACAAGCCCTTCTCAAACCTGTTACATCGTATCTGTTCTGCGATCGCGCGCAGAAATGGGCGATAGCTGAGCCTTCTAGACGCCGAGTTCTTGGGTCGTTTTTTAGGATGCTGACACCCGCAGAAGAATGGCAAGAATGTGACAACTGGGCACAAGATACCCAATGTCGGCTGAGCTCATGCATCTCTGACTAGGACAGGGCTTTCCGAGCCAGTCTGCAGGGATCCCCAGACAGTCCGTGTTTTTGCTACTGGGAGTCGGGAGGGAGCAAAAACATGGACTGTCTGGCGGTCTCCAAGGACGACGTCGAGGAACACTGGTCTAGGATACTGCTCTCCAGTCCAGTGAATATTCCCCAGAATGGCACTTTTTGTCTTTGTCCTATTGCATCAATACTTAAGCCCAGGCAATGGGGGAATTGCTAAGGCTGGTTTTTATGGGATTTAGCCCCTAACCCCCCCCCCACACACACACACACACACACACATAACTGAACACTAGTTTAAATAGTGCGGTCTCATTTTCTCATTCATTATAATCCAAACCTCTAGCAAAGCCTTGCCCCCCTCCTTTTATAGATATCCTGCCTGGAAGATGAAGGCTAGATAAGCATAGGCCTACTTCTGTCGTGGTCGGTAAATAAGTATGCTATAATGGGGGACCCTCGCCCGATGCGGGTCATATGTGCCTCCATACGGGGGTGCAGGTCGCAAACCCGGAGGAAGGGTCCTCTTACGGCCGGAGGTGGCCGGGGCAGTGCAGGTGAGCGCGGCAAGCGCAGGTGGGCGTTTCCCCGCGAAGATAAACGGCGGCCGACGGGCGGCGTCGCTCCAGTGCAGAGCCGGAGCCGCGCAGCTCTCTTCCTTCTTTCAGGTACCCTTTTAAATTTTTATTAGTTTCCCAATTTTGCTGTTATGTTCCTTTAACATCGACGCATTATTTAATAGTCGATTTATACTCGCAGATTGGTTATTTTGCTTTGTTATTATTTGGCACACCGTTAAATGGGCGACGTATGCGTTTATTTCGTTTTATTACCCATCCATCCATCTTCCGACCGCTTATCCTGGACGCGACGGCGCAGTTATTTCGTTATTTTGAATGTAATTTATTTATAGGAGTGTAATTTCCAGCAGCGGGTCCATCATAGCCACATCCCGTTTTCTCCCTTGGCTACAGTTTGACGTTTGTTGCGTTTGCGTCGATGGGGAAATTAATAACTTTCAACTCTTGCTGATAACGATCCGGGAAGTTTTAGGCGAGCTTTTGACTCTGAAAACCCCGAGTTACACTGTTCGCATCTTCAAAAATGTAACATTAGGCTTAATAGTAACGCGCGATTGTAAACCGACGTCGATTTATGTTCCTGTGGTTTTATTGCTCGTTAATTTAGTTCAGGTCGTACGAAATATGACTGGAGAGTAATATCCTGGCTATCATTTTGCTCTAGGTAAGTTGTACAGCGGGATCTGTCTCCGGAGCTGCCAGCGGATGGTCTGTCTGTTTATCTCGGTGTTTCTGATTTGGATACAGGAACAGATCGCCTCGGATCGGAAGCATTTTTATTTATGGATGTCAAACTCTAACCCCGAACTCTGATCGTCGCGTTTTGTCTGTCAAACGACATCGCTGCTTTAGTTTAAAACTAAGATGTACGTCCTACTGTCCGGGGAGCAGCAGGACCCAGGGGGAATCAGGGGTCACTTGTTCCTTTTAATGTCATTTTATGAAGCTGGAGGCTTCAGTATGTCGAGCCATGCGCGTCCACGCAGCTGTCTTCCCCGCCGAGACCGTTAAGGACGCGCTCCCGAGTCTGCTTCCCCGCGTACGTCCCTGACGCGCGCTCCCCCATCTGTGTAATTGGATACGAACTCTTAGTCAGGCTTTCTGTATAAGCGCTGTGTGCAGCACTTCCTAAAAGGTGTCTAGCAGCAGTTTCCCCTTTGTAGTCTGTACCCTTTGTGTCCAATCGCCGTGATGTTTTCTGGACTTGGGAACTTTGTCGGGTCACGCTACACCTTAGGAATGACCCTCCCCATTCTTCCGTTTTAGGATGGAGTTTCTCAACCAGTGGTTATGGAGACACGAATATTGGCTACCTCCAGGCGTCACCTGGAAAGATATGGAGGATCTGGAGAGCTACCCACTGCCCCAAGATCTCCTCCCCACCCTGGGCCTGGCCCTCGCATTCATCGCCCTGCGCCATGTCTTCGAGCGGTGAGACTCTGAGCGGTGTACCCAGCCCCCCCCCCCCAAACACTGTTTTGACTGCACTCTGGGGTTATTTAATTACTTTGCTTGGATGGTGCAATGTAATATGTGAAAGGCGGATTAATGCGAAGCAGTATGTGAACAACAGGGGGTCGGAGCCCCATGGTGCTGGGAATGGTTCCACGTGTCGCCCAAGGCGCCGTTTCCGGAGGAACCGGTGGGCGTGTGACACCCCCCCCCCCCCCCCCCTCCCCTCTGCTTAGCGTGAGGCTTAGAGTTACAGGCGACGTCACAAACAAGGGGCCTTGCTGACACTCTCATGTGACAGCTGTGTCACCCGCAGCCCACCAGCCCATTCTGCTGTGTCATTGTTTACTTCCTCTATGAGATGGCATGTGCTGCACCAGGGCAGTGGCTAAGGGGCTTGATGCTCCAATTCCAAACAGGCCGCTGCTGTTGGAAATTAACGTAATTAATTTCATCAGTGTCATATCTAGTTATTCAGATGGGTCAAGGGTTAGAATTGTGCACTTAATTTTAAGCAGAGTGCAATTAGAGAGCTTTGCTGGATTTACTGATCTTTGCTGGTCCTCATCACTATTGCTGGGGAAGTTACTCAAAAAACTAACTTCCAGAAAGTACAAATCCAGACCAAGGTATAGAGTCACAGTCCCAGAGTACTCAGTTGGATGGTTGAAAACAAAATCTTGGTCTGGATTTTTACTTTTCTGAGTAACTTCCCCAATACTGTTCATTACCAGGTGAAGGGAGTGTTGGCCAACGTGCATTTTCCGTCCTGCAGGTTGGTGGCGCTGCCCCTCAGCAGCTGGCTGGGGGTGCGGGATAGAGTTCGTATCCCGGCTGCTCCTGTCCCGGCGCTGGAGGACTTCTACGGCAGCCGTGGGAACCAGCCTTCCCAGGTAAGCTCCGTGTCTGACACATCTCTGCGGGTCCTATCGGGATTTACGTCACGCGTCCTCGTCTCACCCTCCGAGGCATTTACCTTCAGTGCGGAACAATCATGCTACGCGCAAAAAATTCTCAGGTCTTGGATGAATGTCTTTGACATTATAAAAATGAGAATTATAGAGTATGGACTGGGGAGGGAGCGACATTCAGTTGTTTACAATTCCCCCGCCTCATTGCTAATTTGCAAGCCACTTGTTTCCATGAATGACCCATAATTCTCTGTGGTTGTACACCGCAGGTGGCGAGGGGGAGGTCACATGACGAACAGCCCCATCAGGGTTTGCCTCAGAGGCCCGTTTGCTCCATGTTTTTTCTCGCCGCTGTGTATCCCGAGGTATTCGGATCCCCCTGTGTGACTCCACTTGATCTGTCCCTAAACAATTAAATCCTCCCGCAGGAGAGGAGAGTGTAGACTCCGGAGACCCGTTCCTCATGGAGGCAGGGGGGGGCGTAGATGTAGCGCTGGGTCACGTGACCGCGGTCGAGATGAACAGCAATACAGTGAGGTGTGATGGCTGCATACCGCATGCATCAAGCAGGGCGCCTTCACCTCTAATCACAGCCCTGTCTGCTCCCACGGCTCACAGACGTAGCCCATGGCTCTGACAATGTCATTTTGCCTGTGCGGTGACAGCCAGAACGTGCTTCTGTCTGAAGTGCTGATCTCGCTCTCGGGTCACGTCCCACCTGTCATAGCTCTCATCTTTCTGCAGGTTTCTCCTCAAAAAACTGAGTCATCAGCGCAATGTTCGCTTGACTGTCTGTGTGACTTGATTTTTTTTCCGAAATAACTTCCAGCCATGACTGCGATACCATGCCTCTGATCATTAGAGGATTGTGGGTAATGGCCTGGATTGTGCCTCTGGCACATGCTCTCTCCTCCTACTAGAAACAGCCCAGTGCACTCAGCCGGGGTGGGGGGGGGGGGTTTGAGGGGGTGGAGTCCAGTCTGACGTTTCCTCCATCTGCTGTCTCAGAGAGAAGTCCTTGGTCTGGCCAAACAGTGTGATCTCACGCGGAGGCAGGTGGAGGTGTGGTTCCGATGCCGGAGGAACCAAGACCGGCCCACTAACACCAAGAAGTTCTGCGAGGCTTGGTGAGAAGCCCCCCCCTCCCCTCCCCACAGACTCACACCATGTTATCGTCTTGCTCGCATAATTTGGTTGGCAAATGCATGTCACGCCCACCATGATAAAGGGCTTCGTTTGCAAGCGTCTGCTTCCCTAATGGCGGGTCTCCCTTTGGCAGTTGGCGCTTTGCCTTCTACCTCACAGCCTTCTCCGCCGGCCTCGCCTCGCTCCTCCACGTGAGTATCCCCGAGCCCGAGGAGGGAGGGTCGCGGTGAATGCGGCTAGGGCCATTACCCTCAGGGGTGCTGTCCGCCATCTTAGATCACTGGACTCTGAAACCCTTAAATTGCTGAATTGCCCCGAGTGACATTCTGCCCCTCGGCTGGGGCAGCTGCTGCCTCTTATTGTCTCGCGCATGTGAGTCTCAGCATCTCGCTCTGCCTCACAGAGCCCCTGGTTCTGGGATCGGACCACATGCTGGAAGGCCTACCCCCGTCAGGTGAGTCTCTGCCCGGCCCACCCCTCCAAAAGCAGAATGTCACTTTGGGGAGGGGGACGCTCACGTCTTTCTGCTCCGCTCCCCCAGCCCGTGCAGACTGCTCATTACTGGTATTACCTCCTGGAGCTGGGCTTCTACTGGTCCCTGCTGTTCTGCGTTTCTGTGGACATCAAGAGGAAGGTGAGGCTGTGACCTCCCCCCCCCCCCATTTCACCTTGACCCTCATCTCCCCCCCGGTTAATGTTTCACTCAGTAGCTCTCGCTTGCTTCCCCGTGCTGCTCCCCCGGGCTACGATGGATGTCAGGTGCCATTAGTTTGACCCACTGGCTGTTCAGCCAGAACGCAGGTGCTGCGTTTTGTGTGTCTATGTATGTGTGTGTGTGTGTGTGTGTGTGTGTGTGTGTTTTTGTCCCACCACCCTCAGCGATTCTCTGCTTCCAGGACTTCAAGGAGCAGATCATCCACCACGTGGCCGCCATCGTCCTGCTCGGATTCTCCTACTGCTCCAACTACGTCCGCATCGGCACTCTGGTCATGCTGGTCCACGACTCGTCGGACTTCCTGCTGGAGGTGAGCGCCCCCTGGGGGTCACTGTGGGATCACCTCCCCCCCTCCACCATGTTTTTGGCCAGAAGCTGACCCGCCTTTCAGAAGGACTTTTAAAACTCCTTGCGTGAGGATGTGACAGGCAGCCATAATCCCCTCCATTCAGAGAGCCGCCCGGGTCTCCCTCACTGAGCACGTCAGCTGATTCCCTACTGCCGGACGGGAATAACAAGTTTGTGGGGGGGCGTGTACTCAGTGCGGTGCTTTTTGTTGTTGCGGAACATGCCTCAGGGTGCTTTCCTGAGCTCATCTGAAACAGCAGCCACTCTGCACGGCCCGGATCTCCCATATCAATACTGCCCTGCATCACTGGAGTTCCAGTTTCACATGTGACCTCCGGCCCGCCTGTAGAGGGCGCTCTGCTGAGTCGTGGCAATGGGTTCACGGTGTGCTCACTCTGTCCATAGTCAGCCAAGATGTTCAACTACGCTGGCTGGAGGAGGACGTGTGACTTCCTGTTCGTGGTTTTCACAGTGGCATTCCTGGTGACCCGCCTAGTGGTGTTTCCCAGCAAGTAAGAATCTGTCATCATGGTGTATTGTTGAGATGTCACCTTTCAGGAAGTGACATCATGGGTCATGTGATCACAGAAAACCCACTTGCCTGGCAGCTCACAGTTGTTTGCTGGCTTTCGTCCCACCAGGATCATCCACACCACCCTGGTCCTGTCCATGGAGGAGTTCCAGCCCTTCTTTGGATATTACTTCTTCAACGGGCTCCTTTTGGTGCTCCAGGGGCTCCACATCTTCTGGGCTTGGCTCATCCTGCGCATGGTCTACAAGTTCCTCTGCCACGGGAAGGTGAGCATGTTGACCACCCCCCTTCCACAGGCCCAGGGTGGGGCTCAGGGGTTTCCATGACAATGAGGCCATTTATTGCGGGGCTACTTTCTGCCCTTATAGGTGGAGAAGGACGAGCGTAGCGATGAGGACAGTGACCCTGAGGAAGTGGGGGAGGAGGAGGAGCCACAGTGGGAGAGGAGAAAGGAGGCCCTCAACTGCAGCCTGGCCGTGCTGGCAAACAACTGCGTCCTGAGCAACCTGACCAGCCAGAGAGGAACTGCGAGCGCTCAGCCCAGCAAAACGCGATAGCGGCCCTGAGTGGAGGCGGGGCTCTGTGTGGGTGGGCGTGGCAATGTGCAGAGTGGGTGTGGCTCTGTGTGGTGGCCTGGGCTCTGTGTGTGAGGGGCAGGGCAGCTGTCCCACACAGTTAATCTGTTTTAGTGCTGTTTGTCACCCTAAATGCATTATTTTGTCACGAGGTACAGGGAGCCACACGCAGGTTCTTCATAGTTTGAGATGATTCAGTAACTCCCCCCCCAACCAGGAGGGTGTATGTGTACGCCGTAGCGTGTCTGAGGACCCCGTGTCGGTCCCCAAAGGGGGGGGGGTCTCCTGGGAGGACTTCTCACCCATAAGCTTCCCGCTGCGATGCACTGTCAGCCTGCGCCAGGCTCTCACCGCCTAAACCTGCTTAGGCCGTCCTGTCATTTCAGCTTCTAAATGTAACTCAGACGCAGACAGTTAACCAGCCATGGACCAAGACTGTCAGATAACGTTTGACCGGCCCCAACATGCCGACCGCGTTAGAGGTTGACTGCAGCGACCTCAGTTAAACCTGCTTCAGCTTTGCTCCGGAACCTTCTTTGAGCGAAGACACAAACAGCAGGCTAGTATCCCAGGTGAGGTCACCTTACAATTCAGGAGAGAGCCTGACATACCACACCAAAGTCTCCCAATACCACCAGTAAGATACAGTACTCCTGATGTAATGTTTGGAGTTACATTTACGATGTAGATGTGTCCTGATTTTTTTTTTTTGTCGTCGTCGTTGGATTGAGCTTTGCTTTATGAAACTGACTGCTTCCCTGCTGATTCATTAGTCAGTTGTATGAAAGCAGTGTCAGAGCGCCCCCTGCTGACAGACCGTGCTCTGGGTGTTAGCAGCTTGTTGGTTTGCCTTTGCCCCTTTGCTTTCCAATAAATTCACTCTGTTCCAGTTTCTGTCCAGGAGGAGAGGTGGTGGTTCACAAATCTCATGTGCTTACTGAGCCCTGAAGGATTCTCAGAAGTAGCTGTAAGATTCGTCACCCACAGCTTAACGAGGGGAGGGTCCTCGACTGGCACACAGTGTCCCCCTCCAGAATTTAATGGGCCCCAAAGCGGCACCCAATGATGAAGTCACTAAATTATCTGTTCTCTATTTAAGAGAGAGAGCTAATAACAGGGGTGGTGTGTGGTGCTCTTTGGGTTAGGACCATGACTGTCATCAGATGGTTGCTGGTTCAAACCCCATGGTCAGCAGAATGGCCCTTTTGCTCCAGGGACTGGCTGAGCCTGCTATCAATTGGATAAGGACATCTGCTAATGCAGTGTTTTTCAACTTGGTCCTCGGGGTCTCCCAGACTCCATCCCAGGTCAAAAATGTGGACTGTCCAGAGGTTCCTGAGGACTGGTTTGAGAACCACTGCGCGGAAGAAGTAAATATAGAAAATGGAGAGAATATGCTTCATCGTCACAAGCGAGCCGGTAGTGTTCGGCCAGCTAAGTGGCCAGTAAGCTGTTAAAAGTAAATGGCGTAAATAAAGAATAACATGCTGCAGATGGATGGATGAACACGTCTACAGTCACTGCCAGCAAAGCAGCAGCAGAGCTGCCATTTCCCTGCATGTCTGCGCAGCTGGGCTGGGTCACTTTTTGGACTCTGCGCAGCAGGACAAGCTGATTAACCTTTAAAGAGAGCTTCTCTTCAGCGGCATGGGACGCGGTGGGAGGGGGCAGGTGAGGTCTTACAGCGTAGAATGCCGCAGTAAATGGGTTGAGGAGAGGTTTCAGATGAAGGCTGATCCACAAAAGTCAGGGCGTGTAAGGTCACATCCCAGTGTGGTGAGTGGGCGGGGCTCATACCTGCACACAACGCAATGGCTGAATGTGGCGCCTATCACACCCCCAACAAAAAACATATAAAACACACAAACAAACCACCTTCACATTTTATTGCTAAAAATAATTTCCTCTAAGGCAGCAGTTTTGGAATTTCTCACAAGTCTTACGGCATATAAAACATTAACTCTTGAACTGATTGTTCAGCGTGCTACAGACATCAGATTAGACCCCCCACCCCCCAAGGAAGGTTACAGGTCACTAAAGAACAGGAATCATAAGACGGCCGTTCATGGCTGAGACCCGCCACCGGGATTTAGAGATTAAGACGCTGGGACATAAAACACCGGCATGGAAAGGGGGAAAAAAAAAAAAAAAGCAAGATACTGAAGAGGTTTCTAACACAGACGCCCCCATTGTGAGATTTTAGACAAACAGAGACGAAAGGATGCAGATTCCAGAAGCAAGCAGAGCGGAGGTGGATTCATCAGCAGGGCTGGAGGAGGGGTATTCCACCACCCCCCAACACACACATACACACACACATACACACCAAAAAGGTAAAGTGCTCAATTGCTTCAGCTTGGCCAGACGAGGGGGGGGCAGGGGGGGTATCAGGCACAGAAACCCAAAACGCAGAGCTCCAGCCAAGCTCCCCCCCCCCCCCCCCATACATTACAAACAGCACAGTCAGAAAAGGTCTCTTTGGTCACCCAGGCGGCTACAGAAAATTCTAGAGGCACATGGGGTGTGCAAAAGAACAAAATAGCCCCCTCCCCACATCCATAGAGCAAAAAAAACAGTGTGATCCACAATCACACACGTACCTTAACTACGCGTTTCACTCTGCGTATCACAAGTGACTCACTCCAGAGCCTTCTAAGGAAACAATCAGGGGTGGTACACGTCAGGATTCTCTCCACCGCTGTGGAAGGGCAGGGGAGGTAAGTACCACTATGCAAAACTGGGGGGGGGGTCTGGAAGAGTGTCACATACTCCAGCTTGGGTTCTGGCCCGATATCATGGACCGGTACCATTACATACAGCACAATGGGTGAGTCCTGGTCCATTTTGGAAGGAAACTATCGTCACCAGGCTCATTCATTAAAATTTTCACCTTATTCTGTTCACGTCTGTCAAAAGGCCTTCAGAAGACTGATACCCCCCCCCCCCCCCGCAAAGGATGTCAGCCTATCAATCACAGGAAACTTACAAAATGACATTTTACAGATACATTAGCTCCAGATTAAAAAGCACTATAATTTGGGGTTATCTTACACTCTCATTCCCTATGATGCAACCGACTGCTGGGTGGGCAGGGAGCTCGGAATCAGGTCACAAGCAGACAATGACCACACCCACCATCAGAGATCAAATGGCAGTTTGCATGGAGACCAGCAGGAGGCAGTAAGATGTCAAAGACGAGCAGCACAGAGACACAAATATGAATGCTCTCCAAACTGATAACATCTCTACATCATTTAAGACAAAGGAAACTGGCCTTATTTAAAAACTATAACATACCACAGTATGATTTTTGGAAGAAAAAAAAAAACATTAAAAGCATTAAAATTAAGAGGATAAATCAGCAAAAAGGACAGTCCCTCAAAGACTGTGTGTCAGCTCTCCCTGCTGTCCATCCATCCTCGTACCAAACACCCTCTACCTCGCATTACTCACGCCGGACTAATAGCCCTCGGCATCATGGGAAGGTAAGGGACTCCAGTCAAGTCGTTCTCTACATAAAATAAGTTGGTAGATGTAAATACGGATGTTAAAAACGGTCCAGTTCCAAAGGCTGCCCAGCACAGCAGGGCGTCCGGCAGGTTCCTGAGTGCGCATTCCGAAGCGGTGGGCCGGCGGGGTCATGTGACCGGAAGGTCAGAAGTAGATGACGTCCTCCTTGGCCGGGTCCTTGCTCAGCTTGTACGGCGGCTGCCTGGGGGGGGTGCCCGTTTCCACAGGCCGGGTGTCGAGCAGCAGGTCTGGGGGGCACGCGGGATCTGCACATAGGACGAGCC